CTTTACTGCTTGTGTTATTACGGCAGAAATGGTAGACCTGATTGCTTCGACATACACGGACACTGTGCCTTGGGATGAAGGGGTTTGAAGCAATCACTTTGGCCTGCTCAGTTGTAGTCCTCTGAAGATAAGTGGGCGCCTCCTCAGGACGCAGTCGTGGCCGCCTGGCATTCTTGTTGGGGCGAACGGCTGCAATGGCTGCGGGCGCTTTAGCTTAAGTTGCTAATCGTTTTCGCTAAGGCATTCTTTTTAGAAAATATACTACTGAAAGTGGCAAAAGTAAACAAGACTGAGACAGACAATTAACAACACTGCAGGGGATACGAATACCCCACGAACCATTGTTGTCCGGAAAATTACTTAGTACCTGGGAGAGGCAATTTAAGATGTATAAAGCCTAATAGGCCCAACGTAGCCCAAAACAAATTGACAAATATAAGTGACAAAAGTCGATAAATAAGACAGCAGTAACAACATAGAAAAAAAGGCCAAGTTCCGTAAAACACGTGCATAATCACTAATACTGACTGGTCAAAAGGGGTTGTACACCTAAAGTGGTAAAGCGAAAGAACAAAATAACATAACCAAAGCCGCAAAAATAAACACGGTATTCAAACCGTGCAAGAACAAAGTAGCAAGCTTGCTTATAGGAATGGTAGAGTTAACGAACAATTTCAAATTTTGCCCCTTGAATTGAAAGCGAAGGTCATTTGAATGCTTTCGTATGTATTTCTGACGGTTTTAGATCTACCTGCTCGATTTATATCTGCTACGCTTCATGCTGACAAGTCCCTCAAAATGGCAGCCAAACTTGGAGATTTCCGAAAATTAGGTAAGTTCACGGAGTTATAAATTTTTAGTAAAGGTCGGGCCGCTAAGTTTTTTTCTGCAGTTACCTTTTCTATGGCTCCTACTTTCTAGCTATATTAGTTGGATCAGTTAAGAACGCCTCACTTTTTCAAAAATGTACCTTGAATTTGATCGGTTTTCGCGTGTGCGACTTAAGCGAACCGATAAGGTGTCAGTCAAGTCTTCCTGTTTGCTTGATTGAAACGTGATGTTCACGAAAGTCGCCTCGATGGATAAGATAGAGTTAATATACATGGCTGTGTTTGCTGAGCCCCGTAGTTTGTTGTAAATTGTCCGCCAAAGTTGCCTCAAATTAACGTCTTGAAAAGTGTCACGACAGGCCTTTGCTCGAGTGAAATTTAATTTCCGTAAAACTCTGAAAAATAAAGAGATCCGATCAAACGGATTGTGGTTTTAGTATAGGTACATGAATGTCTTACAACAGTAGTGGATAAGGCACCTGTTACGCCGTTTTTTTGCGGATTTAATTAACTTTTTCTGCGGTATAAATTAACGCAGATGACGTCATGAATCTCATTAAGATAGGATGATGTCATACTTTGAATTAATGCAGATGACGTCATGTATCCCATTAAGATAGGATGATGTCATAGTTTATTTTAAGGAGCAAGTGACGTCAGAATTTCCTAGTGTTAACGTCATCAAAAAAATTTTGAGATCATAATCTATAAACAGAAAAGTAATATCATCTCCCTACTTGGTCATGATGATGTCATATTTATTCAGGTAACATGAGGTCAGGGTTTATTTTTACCTGCCAGTTTTTTCTATTGTTTCGAAACACATAAAATGGTCATTCCTTACCAAGCAAATCATTCTCGAGATTCAGTAGTATAAAACAAGATGGTTTCAAACATTCATGTTGATTCGAGACTTGGGCGTTTATTGACTATTGATGAAGTGGAACAAGTTCAACGGCAAAGGATAGCAAGTCTTATCGGCCATATCTTCCAAGTTACTTACGCCAATATGGTTGACGAACTAATTCAAGAAGAAAAGTTGAATCGCTGTCACGGCTGTGTTATTCAGCACCCAAGTCAAAGACAACATTCGTGTCTTATGATGGATAAAGAGGATTCTTGGTTGTACCACCGGGAAGATGTGGTGGAAAAAATTGACCTGAATGCCGTCCTGAACAATGTTGAAAGTGTGTGCAAGGCTCTTGGTTTCAAGCTTGGTCAGTCGTGGAAAATGTACGTCATATGCCTCACCAGCATATTTCTAGCTTCACTTGAGGTAGATGGTTTTGATGGTGATATTAAGAGTCGTGTCTTGCGCGCTATACATGACGGACCTAATGGCCTCAAGAGCAAGGATTTTAGCGACCAAAAAGCAGAAATAGAATGCCCTGAACAAGTAGTGAGAAAAGACGAAGAGCCAATGGAAATTGACTCTGTAATTAATGACATTCAAAACAGGCTTTGTTTGTAAAAGTAATAAAATGAGTTGAAGTTTTGATTTTGCGTCAGTGTATGTTTGTCTTTATCTTAGTTAAGATGGGTCTTTCTCTCTCTTTGCTTCGGGTCAAGTTTTCTTGGTACCGCTTAACAGCAAAAAATTTAACAATATCTACATGTGGTATGGAAAAGCTTAAAGAAAACTTTTTTAAACTACCCGGCTCAAATCTCGAAAAATTAAAGCAACTCCATTCTGAACTCTTTTCCAAAGTGAACTGGGGACGATTAGCAGTACTTTTGAACTTCGCGGATCAGCTGGGATTAACTGAGGAGGAATGGGAACTGCTATTTCATCTTCTTGTTCCCACTCTCACCCACATTCCACAGTAGCTATATAAAGGAGCACCAGGGAGAGAGAAGTCATTACATCTTTTACCGCTCAGGTAAACATTAGTGATGGGTTGCTGTCCGCCATCATCCACTTTTGGTTTGAACACATTTTCAATCGCATACGTTGTGTATTAGCTTGCTGCTGTGGTAAAGTGGTTGTACAAAACTCGGAATTTTGTGATGGAGAAAAAACTAGCCAGCATCTACCTCGACCCAAGTCAACCCGCAAGTTTCGGTGGTTTAGATGCTGTTTACAGAGCAGTCAAAGAGAAAGGAAAGAACAAGATATCGCGTAAACAAGTCCGAGATTGGTTGAGTCAGCAGGATGTTTATACTCTTCACAAACCCGCGCGAAGACGCTACAAGAGAAGCCGAGTCATCGTTCCTGGAATAGATGCCCAGTTTCAAGCGGATTTGGTCGATCTTCAAAATCTCAGTCGCTACAACAAGGGCTATAAATACTTACTGACTTGTATAGATATCTTCAGCAAGTATGCCTGGGTGCTGCCTTTGAAGTCAAAACAAGGTCAAGAACTGGTCAAAGCCTTTCAAAAGATCCTTTCTACTGGTCGCAAACCCAGCAAACTGCAACCGGATCTAGGAACAGAGTTTCTTAATCGAGTGTTTCAGACTTATCTGCGTGACAACAACATTGATTTTTTTTACTGTAAACTCTGGGCTCAAGGCCTAAGTAGTTGAGCGTTTTAACAGAACATTTAAAAATAAGATGTACAAATATTTCACAGCTAAAAACACTCTCACCTATATCAATGTACTACCCCAACTAGTATCCTCTTACAATAACACTTACCACCGAAGTATTAAAATGAAACCGAGTGAGGTGACTAAAGCGAATGAAACTAAAGTGTGGGATACTTTGTATGGTAATGACGTTGAAAAGCGAGTGCGTTTTAAATTTCAAGTGGGAGATCGTGTTAGGATCAGCAAAGTGAAGCGAATGTTTGAAAAATCTTACCTGCCTAATTTCACGGAAGAAATGTTTACTGTATACAAACGAATGGCGCGTCAAGTACCCGTTTACAAACTAAAGGATGATGCAGGTGAAATCTTAGATGGAACGTTTTATGAACCCGAATTACAGAAAATAATTAAGAACGATGATGTGTACCGCGTTGAAAAGATTTTGCGCAAGCGAAAGCGTAAAGGAATAGTTGAATACTTTGTAAAATGGAAAGGGTACCCAGACAAGTTTAATAGCTGGATAGCAGAAAGTAATATCTCAAAGTTGTAACATTTTGTGTGAAGCCAATAAAAGGGTTATTTTAACTGAAAACAAATGTTGTTGTGTATAGTTATAAATTAAGAACGCCAGGAATAAATGTTCATTTGAACACACGAAACGATGGAGGTAACACAGTTTTACCTGCATCTTCCAAGCAATAGCAGCCTCGATAAGTTTCCCAACAACACATTAACGGAGTACCATGTTGGTTTACCTCAAACCGTTAGCTTGACGGGGGACTGGGAAGTAGCGTTAACAGAAATTCATTATCCTCACAGCTGGAATAATGTCCAAGGAAATTTTGGTAATCGATTCTTCCTTCGGAACCAAGAATTGTCCGGAGTATGGGAGGTCCTAATTATACCACCGGGTCATTATTCTTCCATTGAAGATATCTTATCAAAGATGAAAGGGCTGATCGAGAATGTAAAGCGTTTCAATAACGATGTAACATTTTCCTACGATACGTTCACTAGAAAGGTGACTATTCACCTACAAAATAACGTAGAACTTTTCTTTGGTAACATTGGATACCTGCTGGGATTTTCACCAGAAGAAATTATTTCTAATACCTCTACCGCTGAAAGACAAGTGGATTTGGAGTATGGCTTTCACGACCTTTTCATTTACTGTGATCTTATTCAGTCACAATATGTTGGAGATGCATTGGTACCTTTGCTTCGAATTGTTCCTGTAGAAGGAAAGGTCGGGGAGCGAGTCAGTAAATCATTTTTGCGCCCCCAATATTTACCTGTCAGCAGAAAGCAATTTGAAACCGTCGAAGTCAATATAAAGACAGACACAGGGGAGTCTGTACCATTTGAGTTTGGGAGAGTGTTGTTAACACTTCATTTTCGTCAAAGTGCACCTCAGTACTTTTAAGATGAAAAAACTCCACACTCCAAATCACAAGTTGTACGAACAGTACTATGTTAATCAAGCCAAACAAAAAGGTGGGAGTTTACCAGCGTTTCACGGTGCTCGATTTCAGCGGGGTTATGGACTAGGGTCCATATTCAGAGGCCTGTTTCGCTGGGCGATGCCTCACCTTCAACAGGGTGCTAAGGTGATTGGAAAAAAGGCTTTACAAACAGGAGTCAATGTTGTCCAAGATGTTCTTGATGGAGATAACATTAAAACAGCAGTCCACAAGCGCACGAAACAAGCCCTCGGTCTACCTTCCCAGAATTCATTGCAGGGACAATCAGGAGCTGGCAAAAAATCTATAAAAAGAAAAGCGCAAGGAACCAAAATCAGTTCGCCTCCAGGCAAGAAGGCAAAAACATCTCCGCAGCAAAAGAAGCCCAAAGAGAAATTTTCTTTCTGGAAGTAACTATGGCCTTTGTGCATCACGAGTCTCAGGAATGTACGAAATCGGAGTTGGATCTCTTTACGATTCCTGCAACACAAACCTCTATCACCAAAGGGCAATGGATCGAGTACCACCCCATCAGTAACATCACGGACAGTGGTCCGATCGAATTTTATGTTTCGGGAACCGGAGATGAGTATTTGGACTTGGCACGTACTCAGTTATTTGTGAAAGCCAAGATCACAAAAGCAAATGGAACCGCCATAGATGCCGATACACAAGTAGGTCCCGTGAACCTGTTTTTACATTCCCTTTTTTCGCAAGTGGACGTTTCCTTGAACGAGCGATTGATCTCTCCATCCACCAATACCTACCCTTATCGCGCCATGATCGAAACCTTGCTAAACTACGGAGAAGAAGCAAAAACAAGTCAACTTTCTATGGCCATGTTTTACAAAGATACCCCTGGAAAAATGGATGTTGCCAACCCTGTGGCTGCAGACGATGCCGCAAACAAGGGGTTAAAGGTTCGCTATGATTTCACTAAAGAAAGTCATATTGTGGATATGATGGGGCCCATTCATAGCGACATTTTCTTTCAAGACCGGTTGATGCTAAATGGAGTGAATTTAAGAATCAAACTGAACCGAGCCAAGAACTCGTTTTGTCTGATGTCATCAGCAGCCGCTCCAACTTTCAAGGTGGTAATCACAGAAGCCATCTTGTTCGTTCGCAAGGTGAAATTGGCCTCTTCTATTATACTTGGCCATGCTGTTGCACTAAAACACTCCAGCGCCAAGTACCCGGTTCGCCGAATAGATTGTAAAGTGCTGTCTATTCCAAGAGGATTTAGCAGTTTTAACCCCGCCAACATCTTTTTGGGTCACATCCCCAAACGAATCGTGCTGGTCTTAGTGGATACTCAGGCATATAATGGAACTTACAGTAAGAACCCGTTCAACTTCAAACACCACAATCTAACTCGAGTGGGTGTCTATGAGGACGGAGAGCAAATTCCTCGGAAACCCCTGTTCTTGAATTTTGACGAAGCTGGAGATCAAAATGTAATAGCGGGCTATCAAAGTCTGTTCTCAGGCACTGGAAAGCTATCCCAAGATGCGGGTAATCAGATCAGTAGAAGCGATTATGGCTCTGGTTACACAGCATTCTGCTTTGACTTGTCCCTAGACCACTGCTCAGGTGACCATTTTGAGCTAATAAAGCAAGGTAACCTGCGCGCCGAGCTTCATTTCAAGGAACCACTGGCCAATACGGTTAACCTTATCGTGTACGCTGAATTCCAAAACGTGATTGAAGTTGACGGGAACCGCAACGTGTTGTTCGACTAGACAAACTAAAAATGGACACTACTCAACTGACCCTTACTTTGAGAAAGGATAAATTGACACGAGGTGCGTTTCAAGGCGTGTATCCCTCAGACCTGCTGCCTGCCAGGTTCACATTGGTGGCGTTTTATTTCACCAAGGAGCAAGAGGGGGAATTTTTCGATTCTTACGGATCACCACCCAGCAAATATTCAGGAACATTTACTACCTTTTTAAACAACAATTCTAACCTGTGGACTTTTAATACTGTGACATTACAAAGCATCTATTCAAAAGTCTGTGGGCATTACTGTTTGTATTTTGCTTTATATCGTAGTCGGCAAATAAGTATGAGTACTATTGTCCATCGTTTTTCTAAAGACACAAGTAAAAATGATAGTCTTGTAAAACGATTTATTGAAAAATATTTTCCTATAAGTTTTCCGAAATATCGTACTGATGTAAACAAGCAAAGAGCAAAAGCACAACACTAAGTTCAGTAAACAGACACCATGTAATTTCTTTTCAACACATTTTATTGACTGAGCAAAATAAAGTTTTGTGTTTCACAATAAAAAAAGTCTCTTGTCATGATTTATAATCGTAACCATCGAACAGCCTGAGGGCGAGGACTCTCGACTCTGCGCCTCTGCTTTTTGACAGAAGATAACGTCACAGGTGGGGTGGGTAGCCAACGCGAAGGACTTTCTAGGGTCTCCTCTCTCACTCTTGCTTTAAACTCTCTTATGGCACTCTGACGTTGGGGATTACGAACCAAGTTTTCGGGGACATTCATTCGCGCCAGGCCCCTCGCAAAAACGGACCACCCCACTGGTTCAAATCCTTTTCGGTGACGCAATGTGTCGTTGACTAGGTCGACCACATGAGAACCTGGGATTGGTTTGTTTTCATACAACAGCTCTCCTTTATCATTCCAATGTAACACATCCTGGTGTTTTTTAATTTTATCCAACAACTGTCTAGCCCCGGCTTTGTAAATTTTCGGTACACTTTTCATGACCTCTAGCTCTACTGCTGTTGGAAGAGAATTATCTGGAGAAGCTTCCTCTGTAGATTCTGCGTTCTCAACTGGTTTGGGGGTTTCTGTTGTTTTAAGGGTCATTAACTTCACATGGAGAGGCTGGCCTTTCCGCTGCTCGTAATAAGTCAAGTACCATTGCAACACCTGATTGTAAAGTTTCGCCTTTTCCTCATCATCAAGCTGTTTATTTTCTAAAATATCCCCCATGTGGCTATCCAGATTTTTCAGAGTTTGTGTTACAGGTAGAGTTAATATCTGCTGACGTTGCTGCAATCGCTCCAGAGTGTTCTCAGGAACGAGAACCATGCGTCTTGTATGATTCATCATAAGTAAGAAGCGAGCTCAAGACCCGAAGAACGCGAGGTAGCAAAACACTTAAAAAGTTTCCTCCGTGTTGTACCAAGATTTGCTTTTTCTTGTTTAGCGGGTTACTCTTTTCAGCTAAAGTAGTCAAGGCTTTCTTGTGCTTAAGAAGTTTTCTCTTTGCCGGTTTACTGACAGGGACTGTTTCTTTAAGTACGTTGAATAGACATTCACAAATGGTTCTCACTAAAGAGTCGTCGGCTTCTTTCAAAATTGCTTTACGTTGAGCTGGGGTACACTTGACAAGGAGCTTAAGAAAATCGTGGTTCTTTCTTAGTCGCTGGGCCATACTCAACTGATATCAATCACTACGATGGAGCTTTTTTATACCTTTCTGACATAGGCGAGCTGAGTCTCCTCAGGGAAAATGCTTGTGCGCAACCGGAAGTCGGTAGGCGTTTCCGGTTTGAGGTCGCATAACAGGTAGCCATAAGGGCGTTTTGTCGCATCCTGAAACGCTTCTTGCATGTATTTGACATGACCGGGAAACATCTGTTTCGCCAAGTGACTGACTTGACTGCTATCGCGCGGAGACTTGAACATCACCAAATAATGGCAGTTCAAACTCATGTCTCTCAGTTCTTTTCCGCGGTGAAAAATATTTTGAAGAATGAAAATAACGCTTAAATTTCGGTGATGACAGCCCTTAGTAAACAAATTGGTAATTCTTTGATCATTGCTAAGCTCCTGCATTAAATCGTCAATGACTACTAAATTCCGAATGGTTGGGTTTATCATGGATTCTAAATCACTAGGAACTCCTTCGACGAAAGTGATGTTGGGAATAGTCCTTAGCATCTCATCGTAGGCGGGTTGGCATATCCCATAACACCAAATGATATTTTCAGGAGCTCCGTCTATTAATTCTTCTCCAGATTCCAACAGGTGTTTGACAAACTGACTTTTTCCACAACAAGGGGGCCAGCTACAATAGCAGGAAAGGGGTGTTTCCACCTTGGGTCCTTGTTGACAACTGACTGGTTCAACTGCGTTTGCTCTTATTAATCGAGAAATGGTCTTTGGTGGAGTATCTTTATCATATACACGAATCATGTTGGTATTTTGTAATTTAGCAAACTGGAGCCAATATTTTCTCTCTAAGTCAGACAGCTCGTGTACCTGAGCCAAATGGTTTGCTAGTCGAACTAAAAATTTTGACCCACAGCCGGGAACAGGACAATGCTTGCATTTTAGTTTTTTCATGTTAACGGTACGAAAGCAGACTTTAAACTGAACAAATCTATTTGCGACACGAAATTTATCGTTTATTTTCGAGGGCACAACGGGCACCAAGGGCATAAAGGGCAGAAATTGAGTGTTTTTTTTTCTCTCAGGAACACGCGAGAAGGTCGCGTGGGGAAGTTTTGCGTGGGAACGCACTAGCGCCTTAGGTCAGAGAATTACAAGAAACGCGTTTTTTCTAAGTTGTTTTATTTATGAATCACACACGCTACAATTTTTGATACTCATTTTTTTTTAACACAGCAATTAATTTACAACACAATTTTATATATCTAGAGGCATAGTGGTAACTCCATCCTCCAACACTTTTCTTTTGGGGTAAAAGTAGGAAAACCCATCTCGAACTTGTTCATAAGTATACATGCTATTGTTGACTACCAGAAAACCTTTATTTAACCCTGCACTACTCTGTTTGGTCAACAGAACATTAAGATATTTTTCTTTGTTAATGTCGTTTGTTTTCTTGTTAACCCCTTTACAACTGAACTTATCATAGGCCCCAGAGCAATAGTAGGTCTTGCTACTTAGACCAATTATTCCTGTCCCTGACCACTCTTCCTTAAATAAACCTGGTGTTCTTTTGTCATAAGCTTTGTGTTTTGGAGTGTCGGTTCGTGGAAACCAATTGGCCTTGTCTGCTTCAAGTTCCTCTCTTAACTCTGATTTTACTAAACTTTCTACCGATTGCCCTGCGATCGCGATATAGGCAGAGTCGGTGTCCATTTCACAATACTGAAAATCGCTAAGATCAAGATACTTATCCATGAAATCAAAATAAAACTGAAGCATTCTAAGTTTAGCGTATTGATAAACGAAAAAACCTATCTGCATGGGAAAGTTCAACTTGATTTTTTTCTTGCAAGATTGCACTTCAAACGTATTTTCTTCAATCTGTTCAACCTGTCTAAAGAAGGGTTTGTTTATTAAGCGGGACTTTTTTGGTTTCTTCACAAAACTGGACTTCTCGGTGGCGTTCTTGATCGGTTATCGTCTTTCCATAACTCGAGTTCCCCACCTATGAAAAAAGACAACATTGGTATGAGTTTTTTTGTACCTTAAAACGTATTTCTTCCTCCTTTCCCTCAATAGGAGAACAACTTACCAATTTCATAGTGTCTACGATGATGGCTTTGTTTGGGTCTACATCTCCAGCCCGTCTAGCATCCGATACAGCTTGCCAAACCATGCTCCAAGTACCACTTATAATTAATGAGTGGAGAAGCCATAAGATCTTCTCACCAAAATAGCTACCAACGAGACTTCTTCGAGGTTGTGACATGATGTCCTCTTCCTGGGCAAAGGTTTGCATGTGTTGACCAATATCTTCTCTTGAAATTTCTATGTTTTTGAAAATGGGGCACATTTCTGCAAACTTGGGTTTTAGTGCATCAGGTACTCTAACGTCACACTCGACCACTCCAAAGAGGGACTCGCTTCTTACTGCGCTTAAGATCTGGTCTTGTGTCAGAGTCTTGTGATGATCAAGAGGGCGGTTAAACTTGGAGTTAAGAAACTGCTGAACTTGTGAGTTGGTTTTCTTAATTCGTCGCCACTGGCACTCGTAGATTTCCACAAGATGGTACCCCTGATCCTTGATGTACTTGGAGGTTTCTTTGGTTTCTTCTCGTAACTCCGCTATTGGTCTTTTTCTCTTTTCGTTCATTTCTATTCCTTTAGTAAGATGACAGATATGCCCATGCCACCAGCAGCCATGGAACTGAAAGACTGTTTGCGAAGGACCGTGAAAACCATCCACTGGTATTTTTCTTTCACCAATGCGTTTTTCTGTATTGTTCATTTGGTGGCGTATAAAAATTCCTCCTTCATGTGCCTTCCACTCTAACCACTCGGTTGCCATCCTGGAAGAACTTTCTCTCTTGAAGCCAGTTTCCTCTCGTCGTCTTGTAAATGATCCGGTGGGCATGTCTTGCATGATGGCCCATAGATGTAAAGCATTGGCATCGTATCCAAGAATCTTTTGACAGGTTTTTGCTTGTTTTCCTTGATCCTCCATTTCTTTTTCTCTGATTTTGGTTTTTCCCGCCTCGTGATATCGATGAAATATTATACTAGGGCCACCCACCATATTTTTCTTAAAGAGATAGTACAGATCTTTGTTTTTTTCGTCAAAAAGAGAGAAGAAGATGCCAGATTCCAGGGTGGTAAAGAGGTACGTCAAGGTAACACCGGGAATAGAAATACCTTGTCTTAACATGTCGATCTTTTTATCTTTCCAGAAGGCGCACATTTTTTCCAGGGCCTCACAAAAGGGTTGGACATCTAGGTTGTTGTACCGGATGAGAAATTCTCGAAAGGTCTGCATATTATTGTTCGACCAGACTTGTTGGCAGTACTGGTAGTCTTCTTCAGAAATGTTCTTGTTTTTTAACGTAGAAAAGAAGGCTTCGTGAGGTGGGAGGGAAGGGTGTTCTAATTTCTCCAGAGAATCCAGCCATTGATAAGGAAAGAACCCCTTGGTTTGAGGACACTCGTAGGCCTTCAGAAATTTGTCGTAGCTGAAACCGGGAGCAAGAAAGTTGGTAACGTCGAGGAAGCGAAGATGTGGGGTCTTAAGGCACATGAAATTGTGGTTACGCTTGATAGTAAACTGAACGCCTTCATTCTGGACCAGGACAGGAAACAGAAATTCAAGTCATATTTACTAGAATTGAAGCCCAGGACAGGAAGTTCTTGCAGATATTCTTGGAAACGATCTCTCAGTTTCTTTAAAGGGTGCACTTTTTTCTCCTTTGGTTCTGGGCTATTGTCCTCTGGTCTGTGATATTCACACTTGTGATCATTTTTACTCTGATCCTCGTGTTGGCGATCTAAGGCCCTGTAAAACGAGGCACCTTGTTCTTCTACGTCATCGTCAATAAAGACACGATCTTCTTCGGTAGACTCGATTTCTTCTTCATCATCTGTGTCCATGAGATCTTCTCCTTCATCATCGCTATCCTCTTGGGTGCTGTCCTCTGCTGTCTTGTCTCTGGAAGGTTCACAACTTTCTGATTTTTGCTGTAGGTCTTGCAGCTTTTGGTCGATGGCTTCAAAAAGAAAGTTAAATTCTTTTCTTAACAGGTCATAACTCTTTTCACTTATTTTTACGAGGTGTTCTAACATCTTTTTGACGAGTTGTTTAGAGTCCCCATCTGACACAAAGCACTTGGGTTGTTCGTAGTCTGGAACGTTGGAACAGACACTCACGCTGAGGGGTACATGTTTAGCGTTCCAAGTCAGTTTTTCTGTATCGTTAAGGTCTGTCTCGGATGTAAACATACACTCAAAGTCAAAGGTAGCTCTGTAGGGGAAGAACTTGAGATGCTCAGGAACAGTCAACCCTTCGTCTTCTAGCAACTGAAAAATGGTGGGTGGAGTCTTGTAAGCACCTCCTGGAAACTGGTAACTAACTTTCGCTTCACAGGTTCGCTCGTGACGATTTAACTTGCCAACGTGTTTCCACAATGTTCCACATCGCGAGCAGCTGTAGGACTTGGCATACTTCTTTAAATCTTTAATATAGGAAAAGTGATTCTGGTACAGGTTGAGGTACAGCGTACTTGGGTAGTGGCAAAGGGATCGGTGAATCAACTGCGCAGCGATCTCAGGGGCGAAATCCTCTTCCTCTTTTTCTATGTCTTCTTCTCCCTCCTCTCCATCGGGTTTAGTGGGTTCGAGGGAATAGACAAAAATGTTGACTTCATAAAGGTGTTCTAGGTCGATCTGTTCTTTCAGCTTTACACCACAAAATTTCTTTTTCTCAGGAAAAAATTCTCTATATCGCTCATAGTAATGCTGTGCATCCCGGTCTAGATTCTTTGAGTGACAACCGTTGTGGAGTGCCAAAGCCCGAAAAAAGCACAGATTGTCGCTGTAGATTTTACCGGTCTGGTGGTTGCGATCCAAGGCGACCAAACCATGGTTCTCGGCCAGATAGGAAGGCAAGAAAATACCTCTCCCTATAGGATGACCTCGTAGCTTTGTGACGAAGAAAGTTATATTGGTTACCTGTTCTACGACCCATTTAGAGTTGGGGCGTCGCTGGCGTACCCATTCCAAGACGTCAAGGTTTAGCAGTGCTTCACGAACTTGCTGAAGGTCAGCTGCGGTGTTAATTTGAAAGGGTTCTTCAAAGAATTGTTCATTATTTCTGGAGGCATAATAATATTGAAGTGCTCCAGTCTCGTTGTTGCGTAGAATGAAACCAAAAGACACATTCAGCTTAAACACCGTGGACTGGTCAGTAAAAATGTTATTCAAATGAGTGATAAGTTCTTGAGGTTGGAGAGAGGACAGGCGGAAATTGTACCAGTAGAAAAGACGATTTTTGCGGCTAAAACGAGTGCGTATTTGATGCCAGTGGTTGCGATATTCGGGAACGAGACTTTGTTGTGCTTCAGGGAGGTCGGTGATAGTTCTTGTATCTTGCTGCCAACTAGAACTTGGAGTTGACTCCCTTTTTTCGATAGGGGTCGACTTTATTTTCTTGGTTTTTCGTTCTGAAAGAAAAAAAAGGTATACATCTATCTAAATAGAATATCTCCAATGCGTTCAAAATACAATTCCGCTTTATTGCATTTATCGTGAACTTACCACCACCAAAAATTACGGAAAATTCAGCTCGCATTATCGCACGTTTGCAAAACAAAATCTACTGAAATACTATCAGTTTCTAGCTTCTGTTTTTATAGGTTATTTCCGATTCAAAAATACATTTGCAATCAGCGGCTTCTATTTACTGGTAAATACGTTGTGTTTTAAACCTCCATTTGTCACCCTGAAATGATTTTGTGACCCCGAACCTTACCGCGGTATATACTAGTAAAGAGGAACAATGTCGATGTAAGCCACACGATACGTCCTCTTTGAAATGTCCCTGATATCGGACCTTACGGTTTTAAGGACAAAAGAAGTGTTTAACAATGTGTGACCTCTATTATATTCAGTATAGGTATTATTGTAAACAAAGGCCGATAAAGCACTTTTTCAACATATCCTACTATCTATTATGCTTTGCAAAGGAAATTTACATAGTACTTATCATTTAATTTATACAAAATGTTATTTTGGTATTGCAAAAGAGTCTTCCTACCTGAGTCGTCTTGGCGTGGACGTTTTGCAGTCGTAGAGGGTTTGCTGTGAGCTGTTTTCTGATGTGCTATAAATGGGCCAGATTGTGAAAGACTTCACCACAGGTATTACATACGTATTCCCGCTGAGCCGCTCGGCGTCCATGAACTTGTTTCACATGTCGTTTGAAGATATCTATTCGATTAACCGCACACAGAGGGAACATTCGTGTCGCTTTCCAAGAACTGCATAGCGCGGCATTTTAGAAGAAGTAGAGTCTTCTTCATCCTGTAAAGTTATAAGTTGTATTAACGACGGGTTTACAAACCTGTTTAAAAGATATAGTGCGACAAGTATCATTTGCGCGCTCTGGCTCTAAATTACGTCAACAAAGTCTTTCAACAGCATGGTTTCATAATTCCTTTATTTATATACCATAACTTGTTTTTGTAAAAATATTTTTAAGTCCATCAAGTTGAAAATCTGACTTCATTTACAATATTATCTAAATCAAATCTATCTTACTGATAACTTTTGTACAAGCTGTTTCTTCTCAATACAATTTTAAATATGCAAAAACCATTAACTACTGCTAAATTTATGTATTGCACGCTTTATTTTTATAATTTCTTAATTTTTATGTTTTTGTCTGTTTGTATTTTTGGACCATTTTATTTCACGTGGGAGATTTAACGAGCTACGGCTCCTGAGCTCGTCGTGGTTATAAATAAAGTCTGTCGAACAACCCAAAACCAAAATCTGAAACGTACGTAAAGTACTGTAAAACCTACCTCTGCTAGTCGTTTCCTGCCTGCTCCACTCTGTATTTCGTTTAAGTGAGGCCGTTCAGTATCCTAAAAAAAAGTAAAACTTGGTTAAGTTGGTAACAATACTAGACCAGAGAGCCGAACGTTCATTCAAAATACAGTGAAACAGAGAGCACTTACCTGTGGTAATTTTTCAAACTCATTTTCCCAATCATCCCATGGTTCAAAAATTTCCTGGGGAACATCCAAATCGAAACTGGTTAACTGATTGAAATTCATGACTTCTTCTGACAATTCGTGAATGACTGCTTGGATAGGGAGCGCCATTTTATGTGTTTCGAAACAATAGAAAAAAACTGGCAGGTAAAAATAAACCCAAAAGAGGTACGTCAAGGTAACACCGGGAATAGAAATACCTTGTCTTAACATGTCGATCTTTTTATCTTTCCAGAAGGCGCACATTTTTTCCAGGGCCTCACAAAAGGGTTGGACATCTAGGTTGTTGTACCGGATGAGAAATTCTCGAAAGGTCTGCATATTATTGTTCGACCAGACTTGTTGGCAGTACTGGTAGTCTTCTTCAGAAATGTTCTTGTTTTTTAACGTAGAAAAGAAGGCTTCGTGAGGTGGGAGGGAAGGGTGTTCTAATTTCTCCAGAGAATCCAGCCATTGATAAGGAAAGAACCCCTTGGTTTGAGGACACTCGTAGGCCTTCAGAAATTTGTCGTAGCTGAAACCGGGAGCAAGAAAGTTGGTAACGTCGAGGAAGCGAAGATGTGGGGTCTTAAGGCACATGAAATTGTGGTTACGCTTGATAGTAAACTGAACGCCTTCATTCTGGACCAGGACAGGAAACAGAAATTCAAGTCATATTTACTAGAATTGAAGCCCAGGACAGGAAGTTCTTGCAGATATTCTTGGAAACGATCTCTCAGTTTCTTTAAAGGGTGCACTTTTTTCTCCTTTGGTTCTGGGCTATTGTCCTCTGGTCTGTGATATTCACACTTGTGATCATTTTTACTCTGATCCTCGTGTTGGCGATCTAAGGCCCTGTAAAACGAGGCACCTTGTTCTTCTACGTCATCGTCAATAAAGACACGATCTTCTTCGGTAGACTCGATTTCTTCTTCATCATCTGTGTCCATGAGATCTTCTCCTTCATCATCGCTATCCTCTTGGGTGCTGTCCTCTGCTGTCTTGTCTCTGGAAGGTTCACAACTTTCTGATTTTTGCTGTAGGTCTTGCAGCTTTTGGTCGATGGCTTCAAAAAGAAAGTTAAATTCTTTTCTTAACAGGTCATAACTCTTTTCACTTATTTTTACGAGGTGTTCTAACATCTTTTTGACGAGTTGTTTAGAGTCCCCATCTGACACAAAGCACTTGGGTTGTTCGTAGTCTGGAACGTTGGAACAGACACTCACGCTGAGGGGTACATGTTTAGCGTTCCAAGTCAGTTTTTCTGTATCGTTAAGGTCTGTCTCGGATGTAAACATACACTCAAAGTCAAAGGTAGCTCTGTAGGGGAAGAACTTGAGATGCTCAGGAACAGTCAACCCTTCGTCTTCTAGCAACTGAAAAATGGTGGGTGGAGTCTTGTAAGCACCTCCTGGAAACTGGTAACTAACTTTCGCTTCACAGGTTCGCTCGTGACGATTTAACTTGCCAACGTGTTTCCACAATGTTCCACATCGCGAGCAGCTGTAGGACTTGGCATACTTCTTTAAATCTTTAATATAGGAAAAGTGATTCTGGTACAGGTTGAGGTACAGCGTACTTGGGTAGTGGCAAAGGGATCGGTGAATCAACTGCGCAGCGATCTCAGGGGCGAAATCCTCTTCCTCTTTTTCTATGTCTTCTTCTCCCTCCTCTCCATCGGGTTTAGTGGGTTCGAGGGAATAGACAAAAATGTTGACTTCATAAAGGTGTTCTAGGTCGATCTGTTCTTTCAGCTTTACACCACAAAATTTCTTTTTCTCAGGAAAAAATTCTCTATATCGCTCATAGTAATGCTGTGCATCCCGGTCTAGATTCTTTGAGTGACAACCGTTGTGGAGTGCCAAAGCCCGAAAAAAGCACAGATTGTCGCTGTAGATTTTACCGGTCTGGTGGTTGCGATCCAAGGCGACCAAACCATGGTTCTCGGCCAGATAGGAAGGCAAGAAAATACCTCTCCCTATAGGATGACCTCGTAGCTTTGTGACGAAGAAAGTTATATTGGTTACCTGTTCTACGACCCATTTAGAGTTGGGGCGTCGCTGGCGTACCCATTCCAAGACGTCAAGGTTTAGCAGTGCTTCACGAACTTGCTGAAGGTCAGCTGCGGTGTTAATTTGAAAGGGTTCTTCAAAGAATTGTTCATTATTTCTGGAGGCATAATAATATTGAAGTGCTCCAGTCTCGTTGTTGCGTAGAATGAAACCAAAAGACACATTCAGCTTAAACACCGTGGACTGGTCAGTAAAAATGTTATTCAAATGAGTGATAAGTTCTTGAGGTTGGAGAGAGGACAGGCGGAAATTGTACCAGTAGAAAAGACGATTTTTGCGGCTAAAACGAGTGCGTATT